CTGGGCTCCATTACCAGGCGCTATTCGGAAAAGAAGCGACTGGAGAGAGCGGCGGAAATCAAGGATATTTCCACCGTTCTTCCAAGGCACACAATATCAAACTATTTTAGAGGCAAGAAGAGTAACCACGTAATAACCATTATTTTAAGTATTACGTAGTCACTGACCATTGTATTCACAACCCTTGGTACTGATTACTGCAACGTATTTCTGAGAGCGTTCTTCAGTAATTCAATGAACGATTTGTCCTGCAGTAGAATAAGTAAGAATGTTCTCGATTCTTACCTTCCAAGGTCTTTAAGTTCTTCATAGTTTCATCTGGTTTGGCACTTGCCTTTGATGTATCTGTATTCTTACTCTTTTCTTCTTTATCATCCATGATCAGTCTCTCGGGCTCTTTCAATCTGTGATACCGCTATTTCAACAGCTTTGTCTCCGCTCAGTTGCGGTAACTACAGTTGTTTATGTACCGTGGAAGAATGGCGACCTTCCCAGAAAAGATTAATCTCTAGGCTAATTGATTGATTGAGTGTACGAAAAACAGGAAGTACTGTTCAGCCAAGGATTCTGTTAAATGCAGGAAGTCATAGTAATCATGACAACAACCTCCAGTTTGAGGAGCGTTTTCGAAAAGCTCCGTTTTCTATGGCCCCGTCTGGCCCCGTCCACACTACGCCGGAGGAATTTAAAAACGCAGCTTTATTTCAACGGTAAGGCCTACCGTCCACACTAATCCGTCACGAAAACGGAGCTTTTCGAAAACGCTCTTCACATGCACCGGAGGAATTTGAAACGCCGGCTTTTCGTTTTCGTTTGTACAGAAATAGTTTGAAAACGGAGCGTCTCGAAAACGATAACCTCGCGATAATCATGTGATTTCCCTCCCCGAGTTTTTTTCAAATCGAAATCCAAACTGATGACCGGTAATGGTTGCGTTTTTAAGTTCCTCCGGCGTAGAGTGAATGGAAAACATCTAATGCGTTAATAACAATAACAATAACAATAACAATAACAATAACAATAACAATAACAATAACAATAACAATAACAATAACAATAACAATAACAATAACAATAAC